AAAGATGCCAGAAGCCATCACAGCATCTTAAAAGTTTATGCAGTGTAAGAATTTGAATGAGAAATTTAAGATGTGCCCATACCTCTGAATCAGATACGACATCCACATCATTTCCAACTGAGTCAATGAAGTCATAGGCCATCCCAAAGCTATTTAAAAAAACATTACAAGTTAAGACAGTTCCAGTGTGACAGTATAGACCTGGCTTTTATATCTATTACATCTTTGAATGGCTTAATAAAAAAAAAAAATTACCCAGCTAAACATCCCCTAGTGTAATGAGACTTAAAATTAACAAAGTGATTTCATCTTCATATTCTGCAAGTTTTTCAAATATATCTTTGAAAGTGCTTAGACCTAATTTCAAGACATTCTATAACACTTAAAAGTTTTGTTGAAATAAAGAAAAATCAGAAAAAAATGAAGGATTCTAACACTGAACATAAGAGTGCTTCAAGGAGTTTCTCTTTAAGGCATTAAGCATATTAAAGACTTTAACTTTAGTAGATGTAATTGAATTTTACCTCTTATTCAAATTTTCCAGAACTGCCCTACATGTTGTAACAGACACCTTGTCTCTTCCTCCACCCTTGTTAAGGAAATTACAAGGTACTTAAGCTGGAATATTTCAATGTACAGATCATTCTTTAAAACAAATCCAGATACTACTAAAATCCAAAACATACATGATGTGCAAGTTATACTTTTGTTATCAGAGTTTTTTAATACTGACACTAGAGAAAGAGATTGAACTGCCAGCCTCTATTTGACAACCACAGTATCTAAAATAAACATGAAAAATTCATAAAGCCCTGAGAAACATGTTACTCTGCTAAGTCCAGCTCCTAAAAGAGATGATGAGGATGTAAACACAGACCTTGAACAAACTTAAATTTCACTGACTGCCTGACTTGGTGTGAATTTGCTTGTTCAGCACAGGATTTGAGCCTCCTGTTTATAAACACTCTGAGCTCAATTCAGTCAACAATTCAGCAAACATCCACACTGAAAGGTAACACTGCTTCTTGGGCGTGCCCCTCATTTCACCTATAGTGTGATAGAAAGATGAAATCCTGATATAAATGTGATATTTCATTTGCCATTAGTCAGGTCCACTTTCTAAAGATCCAGAAGAGCTATAAATTGGTTTCCAAGAGGAACCACACGTTCTATTTCACCTGTTATCAAAGGCAGAAGGGCTGGCTGAACCAGTCCAGTTTGATCTGGGCCAACCAGGGAAGAACAGAAAGTCATCTGAGGCAAGGTGTCAAAATGCATGTGAACAAATAAACAAAACCATCTCTGTGTGTTATGTAAATAATCAACATCATCAATCATTTACTAATGACACAAGATCAGACCACAGAGGCAACAACTCCAGATGAAAAAGTAGAGGGAGAACAGTTAAGACAAGGCAATATGTAGTTGCTGTGGTTAAACCTGTACTTTCTACTTTAAATGACATAGGATCCAAGTTCACAATCAGAATTGTTCGTAAAGGCCTGGAAAAAAACAGGGTTGCTGTTATTTACCTTGAGAAGGGTTTACTTTTCTTGCTGTTGCCCAGAATGGTTGTCCCTGCTGGTCCCAGCTTGGCACTTTCCCGTAACCAGTTGGCAGGAGGCAGCTTCAGGTCTGTTTTCTCCTGCAGACGGGCAAAGGCTGCTTGAGGAGGGGCTGAGGAGTATTTCACCACAGCACAGCTCTTCACCTCATTGCCTCCGAGGAACAGCACCGAGCCCTGGTTTCCAGAGAGAAATTAGCCTTCTACTTAAGCGTTGGCAATTAAAGCTATCAGGCTTGTTCTGTGATTACGTTATTTTTAAGGCTAAATGAGCAAAATCCAGTCCTATATTCACTTACCTTTCCCTAGCACATACAGTTTTCCAGTTATTCCAATACATGTCAAGCATAAGCTTCACTTTAGGAATTATCACAGAATCACTTAGGTTGGAAAAGACCTCCAAGATTATCAAGTCCAATCTGTGATGAACCACCACACTGTCACCCAGACCAGAGCACTGATCAACACATCCAGTCTTTCCTTGGACACCTCCAGGGATGGGGACTCCACCACTGCCCCAGACAGCCCATTCCAATGCTTGACAACCATTTATTTCCATGAAGGAATTCTTCCTGCCCACCCTGCCCCTGTCCCAGCCTGAGGCCGCTCCCTCTCCTCCTGTCCCTGTTCCCTGGAGCAGAGCCCGACCCCCCGGTTGTCCCCTCCTGGCAGGAGCTGTGCAGAGCCACAAGGTCCCCCCAAGCCTCCTTTTCTCCAGGCTGAGCCCCTTCCCAGGTTCCTGAGGAATTCCCCAGTCCCCTCAGGAGTTCTCCAGCCCCTCATTGTCTTTCCTGACATAACAGCCCCAGAATCAAGCCCAGAATTTGAGGCTGGACTCGGCAGTGCCCAGCACAGGGGGACAGCCCTTGCCCTGGTCCTGTGCCACACTGTGCCTGATCCAAGCAGGTGACAGTGGCCTCCCTGCCCACCTGGGCACACTGAGGTGCGAGAATGAAGTGTCACCAAGGTCGGCTGCCACACAACACAAAATCACTCAGAAAGGCTAAAACGAACACGACTCCCACTAAAGTTTGTGAAAGTAGGTGTTTATTAACACCAATATTAAAGCTAAACAGGCTTCTACCTTACTATTATTAAATAATAATAAATTAAACAAGCTTCGTGTTTGCCTATTTCTTTTCAAACACGCAGCTGTCACCCGTGTGCGAGGAGCTTTGAACTAACACACGTCGAGGGAAAAACAGCTCCACAGGACACCACTTACGTAAATACGCTGCACTTAGGCATAACAACAGCAACACTGCTCGCAATTAACGCTTAATCATAATTAGCGTGTTCCCTACAGCACTGCGGCCCTGACAAACTGGAAAGAGGATCAAAAACACCGCTTCAATTAAAACACCCCCAGGGGCTGTGTCTGTAGCCGCCGCTCGACCCCCTCACAGCCTCTCTACCTCACCCAGCACGGCCCCCCCTCAGCGCCGCTCACTTGCTTGGGCTCCTCGGCGTCTCCCCTCAGCGGGGCAGGGGTGCCCGCGCCGCAGGGCTCCTCCATGGTCCGGGAATGGAGAGGGAATGGAGAAGGAATGGAGCGGGAATGGAGCCGGGAATGGTCCGGGAAGGGGCAGCGGGAGCGGAGCCGCTGCCCGGGGGCGTCCGGCCGGGAGCCGCGGCCTCTCGCGAGACTTTTCGAGAAGGCGCGGGAAGGGCGGGCTCTGAGGGCGGCGCCGTGAGGGGCGGGAGGCGGCGGCTCCGTGAGGGGCGTTCCCGGAGGGGTCGGAAGGGTTTTGATGTGGGAAAAACCTCGTCAATTGCACCAAAGCACGGCGTGTCAGGTCCAGTCGTTCCTTAAGCACCTCCAGGAATGGGGCTCCACTACCTCCCTTCCAATTCTTGGCCACCCTTTCCATGAATAAATTTTCGCTAATTTCCAATCTAGACCTCCCCTGGCACAGTTTGAGGCCATTCACAGGTGAGCCAGAAAGTCCCCCCGAGCCTCCTTTTCTCCAGGCTTGACTTTCCTGGATAACTGGGACCTTAATGAAACAAGCGAAAACTTGGTGGTGGGGTACTTCAGCATGGGAGAGGATTGAAAATTGCAGTGTCCTGCCCTCTGTACGCTGAGTTCAACAAAAAGCTGAGCTGTGATGGCTGCAGTAAGTAAGTAATTCCTAAATAGTGCACATGGCATTTTTAATACCTTTTATTTTCCTTGTAGATGGCATTCCTCATTCTCTAAACCACAAGAGGCAGTATGCTTCATGACTGGTCAGGGAGTACAAATGCTGACTGCCTCTTAAATTTTATCTGTATCTATATCTATAGCCACATATGTCTTTATATATATATATATATATATATATATACATACACACACACACACACACACACACACATGGATATAGATCATGGAATTACAGCATGGTTTGGGCTGGAAGGGCCCTTAAAAATCATCCAGTGCCACCCCTGTCAGGGCAGGGACACCTTTCCCTGTCCCAGGGTGCTCCAAGCACTGTCCAGTCTGGCCTTGGACACTTCCAGGCATCCAGGGGCAGCCACAGTGTTAAAAATAGGTTAGAAACTATTGTAAAATGGTTGATGGTTGTTAAGCATGTACTGTTAGTTTGGTTATGGTAAAAGGGGTTAAAAGGGTAGTTTTAAGAAATACGGTGCTCAATGTACCATTTTACACCTAAGTAAATGCACCACCCCAGCGAAACGAGCCAGCTTGGACAGAATTGTAATGGGCCAATCAGGCAGCTTAAACCTTCATGCAAATGCAAGATCCAAAAAGAAACCAATCTGGAGGGACAAAAAACAGGATAAAAAGTGTATCTGATCCACTGAATTCATGCCGCTCCGCCTGAAACGCAGCAGCCTCGACGGGAACGCTCCTGCTCAGCCCGCAGACCCCCTTGCTTTAGGCCTTTCTTTTTATTATAATAAATGCTGAAATCGCTTTTAGTACCGGGAGTATATTCCCGTTTTTAACAACAGCTTCTCTGCGTACCCTGTGCCAGGGCCCCACCACCCTCACTGGGAACAATTCCTTCCTAATATCCAATCTAAACCTAGTCTCTGTTAGTTTAAAGCCAAAAATGACACAAGTCGTCTTTACAGTCTGTCAAGGCCAAGGAGGCAAAGTCTTGGTTTGTGCTACACTGGCCAAGTGTGCTGCAGTTAAATAGTTGGGATGTTTCCAAGCCACTGCTAAAACTCAAAAGCAAAAAAAAATTCCTTACGACACAGCCAGGTTTTCTGTAAATAATGGGTGCGTGTTCAATTAAGATGTGTGTATGTGGAAAGCCATTTGCAGAAGAGCAGGAAGTTGCATCTTAAAAATTCTATCACTAACGTCCTTTGGGCTTTCCTCAAAACCATCTCTCCTTCCCCCACCCATTCCCATTCAGGCTATGAAGTGTCACTGAAGTGATTGTGCAGAACTGATTTGTTTTCAACATTCAATCCTCTGACGAGCTGTTATTTCCCTCTTCCCTGCAGCACACGAGCAGGAGCAGCGCTGCCTGGCGTTTTTGGTTGTGTGGATCTCAGTGAAACACCGGGGCGGCTCTGAGGTCACAGGGGAGCGCTCCACACCCCGCTCGCTCCATGAGCAGGTCTCCAGGGAACCGCGGTGGCGCTGGCAGAGTGACCGGGAGCGGCAGGGACATCGAGCCATGGCCGAGGACAAGATTCAGCGCAGCGCAGGGCACAGTAGCGACTGGGTAAGGGCCGAGCAGGCGCCCCCGTGTCCTCCGCAGGGCGTCTTGATCCTTAAATTCTCAAAAAAGCACCATGCTAAGGGTGACTTTGTCCTTTAGTCAGAAATTAGTCTTCTCATTCCTGAGGTTTAAAAGGAAAGAGTGTCTTCTGTATTTAGTGTGCAAAAGTTCTGGCGTGTTAACTAACCCGGGCTGGATTTCCCCCCCCACACACACACACCCCGTTTTTCAGCAATGCTGCAGGTCTCTTATTTGATAGTTAGCCCTGGTTGTTTTTCCTTCTTTTCTGGAGAACTCAGGCTAAGGTTTGCCTCAGTTCTTGCCTCCCAGGAGAACACTGTGATCCCATCAGAAACGCTGGGCTGGAACATCTTGGTATCCCAGGGCACTGTGACACTCCTGGCACAGTCTGTTCCTCACTCTCTGAACCCTTTTGCCTGATGTTGGTTTGAGCTGTTCCCAAAAATTTTGTGCTTTCAAACTTGCACTACAGTAGGAGTAGCATGGGGGGAGGGGGATTGGAAGGTAGTTATTTTCCTCGGTGGATATTGCTATGTAAACACTTTTCAGAAAGTTCCTGGACATTCTTGTCTTAAAGATTCCTAACATTGTTTGGTTATTTTATCTACGTTTGAAGGTCTTTATGGTAAGGTTTGCGTTGTGTGTGTGCGAGGCTCCTCATTTTTCCAGACGCCGCTAGGTGCTGCTGCAATCCAAGTAATAAAAAGTAAATGGGACAATATCATTTTGCCCACATTTCTGATCATATTTATTTGTTATTTAGGTTTTGTTGTTTGTTGGGTTTTTTTTTTTTTTTTCAGTTGGCTTTTATTTTAACGGGCCATAATCTTCATTATTTTCTAGTTCTCTCACGATGGAATGGAGGCGGGCGAGCTGGAATCAACAACAAGCGCTTCACTAAAGCATGTCCTGAATTCCGTAGCCGCTGTGGGCCAGGAACACAGAATGCCGCTGGAATACAAAGCTCGGGTGCAGGTGAGTTCCTGCGGCAGCACAGCCGATTTTCGGAGCTCTTTTGCAAGTTGTCACTCGCTAAGTTGTGAGTAAGAACAGCACTCAGGGTCGTAAGCGGAGCAGTCACAGCGGGCTGGCAGACTTTGTGCCTCAGGGGATGGAGTGATTGCTGCCTGTGCTGTGGAAAAAACATATTTCCCTGTTACTCACTCATAATTTTAGTTGCTCAGAGTCCTGCTGTATTACTGCTGATTTTCTCTTTTATTAGTGAGAAACCGAATACATTATGATCACTCTCAGCCCACAGCCTGTGTGTAAAGCCCTGTAAGAAGGTTTAATGGAAATTTGATCAGCTGTTTGTCAATGAATGTTGGAAATTCAGTATATTCACACAAAGGAGTGTTCTTTTTATAATTAAAAAGTTAGATGCTCCTGATTTCAAACATTTTTAAGGCTTGATTAAAAATGAGATTTGTGAAAAATTTTGGGATTAAAGGAAATACAGTATTTTTTAAAATCACAGGTATTTAAAATGTTGCAATGTTCTAAGCATGTCCTTTTCATGTCCTTATTTATCACCACACTGAGCTTTGCTTTACCCACATGCTTTGGGAACAGAACATTTTCTATTTTCATTTTCTATAAGCACAGCAATTACAGTGGGTTCATTTCAGTGGTTTTGCTATACTGAAGGGCAGAAATGAAGGGCTTGGAAGGAATATTTAAATGGGAAGCTTGGGGCTACGAAAAGGAGATTATACTATAACATGAGTATACACTGTGTTAATATTTACATCTACCTTCCTGTGGAACATTTGGCCTGAGCCACTGCCTGAAAAGGAGAAGGGTAGAGGGACCTTTTATCAACACCAGTGTGACTTCACCTGAAGTTGCACGTCTTGTCTTTACCAGCCCTCCACTTTTATATAGAGTTAGGGAAATTCTTGCCTGTTGTAAATTGAGAATTAATCTGAGATCAGTGGTGAGAACACAAAGATCCACTAAAGGCTAAAATGGCACAATCTGAGGAAGTTTGTTTAGGCACTGGTAATAAACACTATTCCTGAAATGCTGACATTGACATTTAGTTTCAGTAGGATGTTTTAGGAAGAAATTTACAGACTCAGGAGATGCTTATTTTTAAACACACATGTGGGAATGTATTTATTGAATTGACTTATTCTCTGAACTACAATCTGGGTGAATCAGTATGAGACAAGTGAACTGGTGAATATACCTAAAAAAATGAAGTGAATCTGCCTACTAAACCAAATAACCTGACATCTGTCCATGTACAGGCACATTTTGTGTCTGGTGAATCGTGCTGGATCAGGCCTCCAGTCACATTGATCTTTAGAACTCATTCAGGTTCCCCTTCTCTTGGCACACCTCTTTTAGACTGTGTTACATTAAAACTTGCTGTTTTGTTTGGAGGGGAGTATCACAGTTGGGATATTGCACTGATATATAACAAACATTTACAAAGTCAGATATGTTAATTTTTTTCTAAAATAGCTCTTTTTGAGTTGTCTTTTGTTTCTTCTGAAACTCTGGTTTCATTTAGAGACTGAATGAACATCATGTTAAAGAATGAGATTATAAATTAGTTAAGCAATTAATACCTCTTCAAGTTCCCCTGCAACAAGCAGTGTCCATGACATTCAGTTCATAAATCACAGGCTAATTCAGTTTTGAGGTCTCTTTTGTAGTTTATTTTAATTAGCTTTAGGCCTACTACTAAATCAAGCAAAGGAGTCCTGACACATTTCTAGCACTTTGCTGCTTTGCAGACAGAATGTATCATTTCTTATTTGAAAATTTGCACTTTTATATTAATCATGTATATATTCAGCAAATCCTCCTGGTCATTTTATTTTAAAAAATTAGAAGTCCACATTATCTCTATAAAATCATGTGCAGGTGAATATTTAACATAGGAAAATGACTTCTGTGCTAGAACAAAGGCAGCTGGAATCTCACAATATAAGAACAAAGACTAATGGACTCCAAACAGAGTTTAAAATAATTTTTTTGGCTGTAATTTCTTTTCTTGCAGAAAGCAGGAAACAACAATTTCCCATTCTCTTCTCATGACAACAGACATGAAATATGCAATGCAGTCGAGTATTTTGACCTGGTAAGTACGCAGCACTGAGACAAATCAAGCAGCTTCAGAATCTATTGGTCTGCCAGAGATTAAACACAGCATCTTTTCTGTCCCCTGCAGAAAAAGAAAAAATAGATGCTAAAACTGTGAGAAGAGAAAAATGTAAATAGCAAGAAAAATACACTTTTTATTAGTAGAGGACTGGGACATCTCTGGGACTGTCACAGATGTGCAGTAGCACATATAGTCATTGGGAATGGCATGATTCAAAGGGAAGCAAAAATTCATTATTTGGGTCTCTGTCAGGCATTTTCTAATATCTCTGTTTTGGTTGTGTACCAAGTTAAATGTCCTATTAGTCTGCTCTAAGTGATTTGCCTTGCAATGAATTTTTGTAGATATCTCAGCAGCTTCTAATTTGCAGTCCCAAATATTTTGTTCTGACTCATCTTTATAATAAATTTAAACAAAATCTGTAGGATACCTACAATATGTCTCAAGAATGCATTCCATGAATTCTTTACAATTCACGTGTTTAAGTGTATGCTGCAGAAGCCACAACTTTGACTAGAATTAAAATCTTTTGGGCTTTTCTCTGTGGGCAACAGTTTCACGTCCCTTCATTCCCCTTAGATTGTTGGTATTATTCCAGACAGCAAAAGAAATAGTGCAGTTCACAGAATAATGAATAAAGGAGGAAGCAGTGAATTGTGATATAGGGAGTTTGTCTGATTTTGGGCTCTGTCAGGCCTAGACTTTTTGGAATTCATTATTCACTGGGTAACCTCAATTTCTGTGCACTTTGGGCAGTGTCTCATCGTTTTAGAGATACTGATCAACCATAATTCCAGCTAAATTTCCTGCGAGCTGTGGAGTGTGAAAATCAGGCTCTGTCTCTCTGTGTTTGGACACACAAGGGATAGCACTGAAGATTCAGATTTCATGGTCTGTCTCAGTTTCTTTATTGCAGTCCAAACCTAGAATTATTAACCTATTTCTTTGGGTGCCTCTGAAGACTAATTTAGCTGAGTGTAGCTAAACAGCCTTGAGTAGCTGGTGTGCTATAGAAATGCGAAATAAAAGTGGTTTATTAGCTCTGAGAGGTGGAAGGTCAGCAGATTTCCCATTATATATGCAACCAAAAATGTTCATACAGGCGAGTCTGACAATATTATTTTTAACTTGCTAAAGATCAGCCGTGAGTTCTTGCAATCACTGTGGTAACAGCTTCGTTCACTTCCCAGGGGGGTAGTGACTGTTACAAGACTCATCTGTGAAGCTGTGACTGGAAGTCATATGGTTGCATGAATTTTTCTTTTCCTTTTTTTTCCCCATAGGGCATGGGCGTGAGGAAGATGGATCCAGAGAAGCAGAGACAGAACTCCCATAACTTCTTTGAGTGGGCTCGTGCCCCAGGCCGCAGCAGCAGCGAAGGCTTCGTCACCATGTACCAGAGCTCGTTTGTGTCACCTCAGAGCCCTGGAAACGAGGAGCACAGTCACAGGCGCTACCCCAAACACCACACCCAAAACCAAAACCAGTCCAGCACCAAACCTGCTCCTGAGAATGACAAAGCCCTGCAGCCACACAAGACATCTTGATCAGCAGAACACCTCAGGAACACCTACCGAGCAAAGCTGAGCTATTCACTACTCAAAGCAACTGTGAAGGAATAAACATTTGTGTAAAGTGCACGTGGCAGTAGAGTTGAGAGTTCATTTCCTTACATCACTCTGAAAACATATATTACTATAAAACCTTTAAAGAAGAGGAGCATTATAAGGAAAAACAAGATTGTGCAAATTTTTAGACATATGGCTACTAGGAGAACAGAGATAGGGATTGTGCTTGTGTTACCTGATACTGGTTGACCCTCATCTTGATACAAAAGCGCCTTCAGCTTCTGAATCAGTGGCAGGGCTGTACCCCAGGCAGCTGACAGCACCTGTATTGACACAGGAGCATAATGGACCTGGATCCTTGAGGGATTACTGCAGCAGGGAGCCAACCCCCTGTGTGCTCAGGTAAGAGAGAAACATTTCTGAGAGGTTTCGTGGCTGAGAAGGCAGGTGACCAGCCATTAGAGAAAGATAAAAAGGAAGCTGTGCAAAAAAAGTGTCCTGTTTGGTTACAGTACAGCAGTTGTAGAAGTGAAAAAAGAAGGAGTGTTGTGAACATTTGTGCGCTCAAAAATTAGATTCATGGCTGTAAGGGGGGAAAAAAACTCAAGGTGAAGTGAAAGGCTGCATGAAGGTTTGAGTTTGGGGTGGATTGGATCTTAAAAGAACTCATGATTTTATAGTTACATGTCCTCAAGGAAGATAATTCAAACCCAATCCTCCAAGCACTCTGCTCCCAGAATATTCACTGATGTTAGGATGTGGCAGGCAGTTGAGTCACACCTAGAGTCAGACCTCCAGATTATGTGTTTTCCTCTTCTGGATCATTTCCATTAATATCAATAAAATAATAAGCTAAGCTATGTGTCTTAAAATATCCTACAAATAAGCTTGTTGCTATGCAAAATAATGTTGACTAAAAAAAAAAATCAATTGTAAGTTTATGAGATAATTTCCTTTATTTACAAGATAAATGGAAAAATAAGCCCTTGACCCTTAGAATTCCCTGCATTGTAAGAGCTGCCTTGAACATGAGCTCAGTTAAGAAATTACATTTCTGCCTTTCAGTGAAGAGATGCATTTTTTTGGTATCAGCATACAGTGGCTGAAGGCCTTTTTGTGTGCCCTCAAAATAGATGGGATTAGATTCCCCAAACATGTAGCGTGTTTATTAGCACATGTTGAAATAATAACCTCATTTTTTTAATGGAGTTCCCCCTGTTAGAGTTCTTGGGGTGCTACACAATACATCAAAATCCAAAACATCAATGAACAATGTAAAACCAAATAAAAAGCCAAGTAACATAGTGCTATTAAAAATAATTGCATTTTCTTAAAGTAAAGACAGCCTGCCTGACAGCTCCAGAGTCAGAATTTCCAGAGCTTTAGCCAACAGTTGCATCCCCAGACTGATTCAGAACTGAAATGTGCGCCAGTCACATGGTGAATGAAGTGCCCCATGCTGCTTGGCAAACTCCAAAGGGCAATCTTGGACCTCCATCAGAAGGAAGGAACACATTCTTGTTCCATTAGTAATGTTTATCTGTGGTTTAGCATTACAACTGGATGTGGTGAAATAAATTGCTAGTTTGTTATGCCTTAAGACACCAATAGAAACACTCCAGATTTCTTTTTTCCCCCTCTTTTTCTTTTTTTTTTTTTTCCCTTCCCATTTTTGGTTAAAATGTGGCTTAAAAATTACCTGTGGATTAATACATATTTTCAACTATATTGTAATAAAGATTGCAGAGGAGAAATTGAAGAGATCATGAAACCCTTATAAACTGAAATACACTGTGCTGGGTTGAATAAAACAGGTGATTCCCACATATCTCATGATCTGCCAGTGTTTCTTGGGTAAATAACAGGAGACACAATACACTGAATTTGGAAATAAATAATGAATTCCTCACATAAATTTGTGTACGTTGGATAGAAACCATCAGTTTGTTTACTCTTGTGTTGATAATGTCTCTGTGCGGAAGGTCGTGTTGAGTTAAAACATTTTTGAACATGCATTTTCTTTTGTTTGTTTCTTTGGGAATGGAAGAAATTGAAATAAGGCTGATACAATTCCCCTAAAATGTTCTGGTCAGTGCAGGAAAGTGCTTTTGGCTGGGAGTTCTTTGGGATCAGATGGGTGTAAGTAGGCTCAGTAGAATGATCATACTGTGGGTTAAATCAGCCAAATACTGTTCTAGGTGCTGCTGATAAGGATGGACTTATTTTGTGCTTTATTTTATTTTTAAAAAATCAAACACAAGCACCCTCTTTACAGAAACAACAGCCTTTATCCTCTGATCCTTTCCAAGGAGTATTGATGCCTTCTGTTTTTTCTCCTGAGTCTGCATCCATGAAGGGACTTTTTAGGAGATATTTTTCTGTGTTATTTTAAAAGTGTTTTCAGTGTGTTACTTAAATTCACAGAACTCAAACAAAATAAATTTTAAAAAGTTAAACCAGAGGGCTGAACAGGCTCCCCAGGGCATGGGCAGAGCCCCAGGACTGCCAGAGCTCCAGGAGGGTTTGGACGATGCCCTCAGGAACAGGGTGGGATTCTTGGGGTGTCTGTGCAGGGTCAGGAGCTGGACTGAAGATCCCTGTGGGACCTTCCAGCTCAGGATCCTCTGTGATTCTGTGATAATAGAGCTGAGCTGAAGAGTAGCAACTTTGCCACTGAAGTTTCCATGCCCAGATGAGTCCCCTTGGTTCTCAGGTGGCTGCTGGAGCTGTGCTGGGTGACAGTCTTGTGCCTGTGTTTGCAATGTTATGTTCACTTCTTTAAACCGTGTTTGATTATTTTTCTTCTTTCTCTCCTGCTTGCTGATAACAAGATGTGAGGACATGGAGTCCCTCAAAGCTGCTGTTGCTCAGCCTGTGATGCCCCTGGTAAGCTGGATGTCACCTTTTATATCTGTGTCATTTGTGAGGTGTTGTGACTAATGAAATGCTCTTCACAGTCATTAGAGACTGGTGTTCTGTGAGAGTACATTGGGTTTGGTACAATAGGAGGCAAAACAGAAATTTTGTCTTTTGTTTACTTGGTGTCTAAAGACTTTAAAAAGTGCTTAAAGCTGGGACTGTGGGGAGCTGGAAGGGGGAATTCTGCTGCTGTTGGAGCTGGTAATTCAGTGGGGATGCAGCAGTTTGACTTCCAGGTCATCTGCTGTTAATCTAATCACTGTGTTCATAATCTAATCACTCCATGTAGCTGAAATGTTGTTCCTTAGTTGTACTCCCAAGGTTAGAGTGAAGTTACTTGATGGGGATGTGGCACTGGAGATGAGTCCATTTCCTTCCCTGTGCTGCACAGTTACACAGTGACAATTCTGTCCCAGCTCTGTCTAAACCCAAAGTTGATGCACATTTATTTACAGTGATATAGGTCATGTGTGGATGAAATTAAGCTTCTTTAAATACTCTTTTACTGGTGTAACAGTTCCCTAACTGGGGAAAATACTGGTATTACTGTGGTGGTGCTGACTTTGAACCAAGAGTGCAGGCCTGTTGAAATGGAAGTGTTTATGTTGATACACTGGCCATGCTGGTTGGCAAGATAATAATAATAATAATAATAATAATAATAATAATAATAATAATAATAATAATAATAATAATAATAATAATAGTAGTCGTTAAGACTCTCCTGCTGCTGATACCATATCTAAAGATGAGTAGATGGCAAGGACAGAGACCCATTCCACTCCGTAGTGGGAAAGAGTTGCCTCATCCCAAATGTCTTGGTTTATTCCTGCTTCCCCAACAAAGTAATAAAATGACAAGCTGTTAAAACACTGTTGAATATCTAATTAAAGGAAAGTCCATTCAACAGGGAAGCAATCCTAACTGACCTTAAATTGTATGTTTAGCCATAGTGGGCGTGAGTGAACCAGTAAAACACCCAATTTATGATTTGGTCAGCTGCTTTTATGAAAATAATGTTACCTCTTATCTGGTCAAGCTTGTTATTCTTCAGTATGTTCACCTGAAAGTGAAGTATTTCAAATTGTCATTTTTGAAATGTGATGTACAGTAAAAAATGTAGTTTGAAACAGGTAAGTTTAATTCAAATAAAAAGAAAGAAGTGGTCAGAGGAGAACTCTGGGACTGCAAGGAGTGGAACTCAGGAATTCAGGAATGCCTGCTCACAGGTGAGTGCCCAGCCCCTGAACCAGGGAAAACCCTGTTCTTTCTCACAAGGCCAGTGTTTAACTGTTGCAAACAGACTAGGTAGAGGGTGGTGGTTTTCCAAGTTGCCTAAACCAGTTCAGAAAATCAGGAAAATTTTAGGAATACCTTTTCTTTTAATTCCTTTCTGTGGGATATGTAGAAGTAGTGCTCACAGAGTACTACTCTAATAGCAATGAGTATGTATGTGATCATTTTCAATATTCTGTGGAATGAAAGACAGATTTTGTTGCTCAAACAATTCTATAAAAATAAATTTAAAATGAAGGTCTCCTGTCCCTCTCTCACCCCCACAACCCCCAAAAAGGAAGGTTGTGTTTAGACTTCCCAGTACATTCCAACACCTACAAATGGCAATGTTCATATGGAAACAGAGCAGCACAAGTGTCAGGTCCTGTGCCCAGATGTAAACTGTTGTGGGCTCAGGCCCTGTGGTATTAACCAGACACTCAAATGGCATTGTGGGCATGCATTAATGACCCTGAGTGACCCTCTTCATCTTATTGCTTAATTAATCAATGGCCCAGTGGCACATTGCCCGGGCTCTTTTTCAAGCTGTGTCTCCCCTCACAGGGAAATCAGATGCTATATGGCTCTGTCTACTTATGGGAAAGGCAAACCCAATAAATGAAGTGTAATTTCCTGATTCCTCTGGGCTGTAGTGATTCTTTTTAACAATGCTTCTTCAGTTGAGTTGAAATCAAAACCCAGCCTGACCAACATACTGCGGAATATTTCATGGGCTGAGTTAAGCACCAGGTTTAAAGACTTAAAAAATAAAGAGGACTGGAGGGGAAGACTGTTAATGCAGAAGCACAATATTTTCTATCAAAAATGCCTGATCCCATCTTTGTTCCTGGTGTTAAACTCCACACTTCCAGCTTTAC